ATAACTGCTTCAAAATTTGTATTTTGGGTATGGATGTGTGTAATTTACGTTGTACAACAAAACGTAAAAGTATCGTCAAGTTATGTTTACCACAGGCTTTATTTTAATTGAAAAACCCCATAGCAAAATCTAGAATGAACCCATGGCGAATTACTCTTCCGGGTTCTGATGTTATAGTTCCCCCACTCTATTGGCAGTAAATATAAATGTCTACTTTTAGTCTCTGAAGTTAAAGTTAAAGTTTTACCCTCTGTGCTTATTCCAGGAGGAATTGGGCGAGCCAGACATCATTGACACAAACACCTCTCCTGCTGATTTTGTTATGGACAACGAAACCACTACAAGTCCTGCAAGCACTGCAGTTGTGATGAGATGATCTTCCAGTGTTTGACATTCAGAAATACACAGTTCATGCGGTTTAAAAAAGGCTGAATAAAAAATCCTCAATTGTATAGCCACAGCTGTGCGTGTGTTTTTTATGCATAAGTGTATTTTTTTAGTTAGTATTTGTATTTAATAAAGCACTACTGCATTAGAATAATTGGTAAATGAAAAACATTACGTATGATAAACAATAATTTTAAGTACACTGCACTTGAACATTAAGCAAAAACAAATTTAAGCTTTTTAGTTTGACTTAATTATTTATAATTAATGTTAACTTAAAAAATTTGAGTTGCTTAATTACATTTTTTTTTTTAGGTAATCGGTATTCTGAACTTATCGGGTTTTACAGTGTGGTAGTCTTGCAATTCTACACAAGATTCTTTTGTTGTTCTTTTGAACTTTCCAACTGATTATGGTGGCCACAGAGAATCTGCTCAAATTAGGTTGAACTCTTTGTCCTTCTGTCACTCCATGCAGAAGAACATGGTCTATCACAGTAGCTCTGATTTCATCTGAAATGACTTCTTGGTCTTGCTCTTCCTCGTTCTCCTCTTCTCCACCTCGTATACGCACTCTTCCATACCTCTCAGATTGATGGATGGATCCATCTGTGCACTCTGAATTGGCTTATATTTTGTGGATTCACATATTTAGAAACAAGTGTGAACACTTTTGAATTATTGTGTGTAAATGATGACAACCGTGCTGCAGTTGTGCTTAACTTTTGCTTTCTTGTGTTTAGGGTTTTGCCTCAAGTTTATCACAGTGCAAATTGTGTTTTAGTGAGTGAGAATGTGTTTAGAGTTTTGCAAAAAGAGTGCATGAGATCTGCAAACAGTGTCTAAACTGCCTGAACTTGTTTAAGGTTTTGCAGAAAAAGTTATTTATTTGACAAATTGGTTTAGGCTATTGAGAATTTGGTTCAGAGACTGGGGTTTAGTGTCTTAGCAAATGTGAAAAACTGTAACACTTTCTACATTATGAAAACTAGTAAAACCTTAAAAAGCTTCTCTCAAAAGCTAAAACCGTGAAATTCGCAATTTAAATTCCAATAATTCCATATTATGTTTACGTTTTTCTTTTAAAGGCCAATTCATGCAGCAACAGACAAAGACCAATGCCGACAACCAACTGGGTACAGTACAAACAGTAATACAACATTTACAAGAAGCAGAGAGTGCTACACGGGTGTCTTTATATAGCCACTGGTGCTCATTGGATGTGATGGAGGTAAAAATCAAATTGTGTAGACGAATACTTCCAAGGCACTCACGTGGTAAGATAAAAAGCCTTTAATGAACTGGGCTTAAATCATTACAACTAGTTAAAAGTAGATCGACGCGTTTCGGCAAAACAGCCTTCTTCTGGTAACACAACATGTTCAATCCGTGAAAACAATCACCAACAGATGCAGACAGGGGTAACACACTGATCAAACAAAACCTGACGAATATATCTATTGCCTTTTCTCTCCGTCTGTCCATGCAGTGTGAATTAGCCTTAAAACAAAAAGACTTTGTATTGTAGCACAGATTTCGCATAAGCACATTTAATTCAACAACCACAATTGCAAACAACATAGTTGAGATTCATGTTTGTAATTACTGTGTGTCACTGAGATGGTTTGCTCACAGATATAGTCGCAGCAAATGGCGCAAACAGCCAGGAATGCAGACTGGCTCTATGACACTTTGATTTGAGCAGAATATTGCAATAGAGTTTGCTAAATTCTAACCAAACGTGTTTGTCTTTTCAGATAATCTGATAATTGGGACAATTAAGTAAAACACTGGTATGGAAAATGTATCTATTTAGGAGAAAAGCTCTGATTGGGGTGTTTAAACTCTTGACAAACATGACCCAAACATGAAAGCTTGTGGAAGCTTGTTTCCAATGCAAAATAACGGAAATGTCAAATGAAAAAAAAGATTTTTAAAAAATAACCAAAGGCAATGTCGCAGTAATCATGATTAAATATCTAAAAAAAATTGTAAAAACTGTACCAGTTTGCCTCAAGTCATGCACTACTGCAGAAAGCCACCTATGGGATTTCCATTAAATTTAAAGAATTTTAAAAAACAAAGCATCATTAATGTGTCTCAGTACTTTAAAAGCCACTATTCCCAGTGGCCACAGACAGCAATTCATGCCCCATATGAGTGACTGCCCGCATCCAATCAGTTTTGCCTGAAAGAGCAGATTTTTCACACACTGCAGCATCCCATCCATAAAATCATAATATCACCCAGAAAATATACAACAATTCAACTTTTAATTTGCATTAAGTGGATCTGCATGCACATATTTATCATTATAAGTGAATAAGTAATAGAAATGGCCAGATAGGAGAGCTCTCGCCAGAGTTTCAGCACTAATGCAGGATAAATCACTTTAAATTTAGAGCTTTTCCCTTCCCTCTCTCCCTCAAAGTTGCTCCATGAGCAAACACTCCTAATTCTGACTGCAATCCTATTTCTCAGTTCTATTTTGGGACATTTTTGAATATATATTTGCATGCGGTTAGCACGCAGACTGGTGACACCCAATTGGGCTTGTTTGGGAGAGTTTTTCACACGCTGCATCATGATGCTGCAGTGGAAGCAGAGGGCCAGAATGGCAAAGCCCATCTGCGTCCATCTGGGTGCCAGGCACTGGGCTCACGGCCCCTGCCCACCACAGACTGCCATTTATATTATCAGCCGTGGTGTGGCTCAGGATGTGAGGAACCCTGGCAAGGTCACACCAACATGTTGGACCTTATGGAACCCATTCCGCTCAGAGCGGCAGCCATTTTGCTGTAACGTAGAGGCCCATAAGCATGGCAGCAATGGGATCAGCATCCGATCATGTGTTAAAGGGGTCATCGGATGCTCAGACACCAGTCCAGTCGGTGCTAAAACACTACTGTCAATCAACTATCGTGGGAGGGGCCTGTACAGAACTACGTCATTCTGACAGGAATCTCAGAACAGCCTGGTTTGATAAAGGGGATTTTAAAATAGGGATTTAAAAAAAAAAACACTGGATGGATTTTTATAATTATAGGATGGATGTGTACAGACGCTTCCAACATACATTTATGTTCAAACAACTTGAAAAGTGAATTTTGCATCCGATGACCCCTTTAAGTTGTGGTGAGCTCCGAATCAAACAAGGATGAATGGACTTCCTGCCACAGGCCGTAGCGTCATCCGCTATTACACTACTAAGCTGTGGAGAAAAAGGATCCTGGGTCTTTACCAGGATAGCTGCATGGATAGAGACATGACAAGAACGTACATGGAGTATGTGTGTCAAGTAGCCTATACATGCCACAGAACATCTAAAAATAGACAGTGACTCCTGACAATTGGCTCCTGTAACAAAATATCACAGAGAGTAACATACCATATCCATATAGCACCATCATCCAATGATGCTGGCAAACGCATTGTGAGCCTGGGCAAGGTGTTCAGTAGAAAAGTGTGTATGGATTTATAGGACGTGTGTATAGATTTATTTTCAGTTGCAAAATGTAGTGATTGCCTAATGGAGATAGCATTTTAACACACAAACAGTTTTGTTACCAATGCATGATAACAAATGTCAAATGAAGGGGGAACATTTTTTTTTTTTTTTCAAATAAATAACAAGGATTTTAATACACATAGGCCTACATATTATAATAACCCAGATAATACTTTTATTATTACTATTATTTAGATAGTACTAGAATATTTTTAATACTTTGAATTAGCTTTAATATTTTTTTATTTTCCTTTTTAATTTTAGTTTTAGTATGTAAGCAAGTTTTAGTTTTGTTATGTGCTTTTGTCATTCTTATTACTTTTTGTTTTCATTTTTTTTTACATTTCTATTTAGCTTATTATTTTTAGTACTTCAGTTTAAACTTATTTTATTTCAGTAAATTGCCAAGGCAGCTTTTCTAACTTTCAGTGTATTTCATCCTTTTCAGGTTTTTCATCTTATTTTATTTCAAAATATATTTTTATATCTTATTTTATTTCAGTTTTATTTCAATTAACAAAAAATTTTAAAATAATAAAAAAATATATAGTTTTAGTTAACAATAACAGCACTGGAGCTGAATGAAAAATTAAACCCAAGATTATAAAATGGTTACAATATGTTCATTTATATTTCACTCAATATTGAAATGTAATAAATTGAAATAAAATAAAAAGCATTGTATTTTATTAAAATAAAATAATCTAATAAATAATATGATACGAATTATTTTAATAATAAAATAAAAATGAAAAAATAATCCTTTGATTAATTCAATTTGAATGCTAAATTACTTATCAAAAACTGTTGTCGGTGGTGACAGCCTTGTGGGCAGCGCGCCGACATGTAGTGCTGTTGTGCGTTGGGCGTCCCGAGTTCGAGTCCCGGCTCGCGGACATTTCCCGGTTCCATCCCCTCTCTCTCTCCCACTTCGCTTCCTGTCTAACTACTGTCCAATCAAAATAAAGGCATAAAATCCCAAAAATAAATCTTAAAAAAAAAACTATTTTATAATAATTTTGGACTATTGTATTGGGTCATTTTATCCAGTATTTGTGTGTGCCATGTATTTTAAGCTTCACACTGTCATCTTAGCAACATCATAATGTCAAAGTCAAATGAAATCTGTTGCAATCCAAGTGTCTCTTATGCACAGCATTCGAAATCAGTTCCATAACAGGATGAATGTAGGCAGAAAGCAGATCAGGATGGATGTAGGCAGTAGGCAGTTCACTATATCTTGGAACGGCGCTATAGAGTTATACTCTATGAGGGGTGTGGCCCACTCCTCATTCTGGTCACACACAGCTGTGTGAATGGTCACATGAGATGGTTGCCTCTTTGGTGCTGAGCAGAGTGCATGCGAGTGACATTGCCCATGGACACAGACTTGTGGAATGCGTTGGGAGAGAGGCAAAACAAGAGGTCGCCATGGAAACAGGGCCAGATTGGTGAGAGAGAAAAGGAGATAGGGGAGGGCAATATGGAGGAGAGGCTATGCATACAAAGACAGACAGATAGAAGTGAGAGAGAGGGAAAGCGGGAAGCTGAGGGCGTATAAAAGCAAGAAACAGAGAGTGTGAGAGAAAGAAAGGGCAAACAGATCAATCGAGGCTAGGTTGTTGAGAAAGCAGTTCCAATAAAAGCTTCACACCTCAGATTAAAATGGTGTGAGCCAGCTGGCCTCCACAGCCTGAAGGAACAGAGGCCTGAGGAGTTTGTGAGGATGTGTGTGAGTGATCTGTTCTCAGGATAAGCGTATATGTACTATATCAGGGCTGTACAGTGCGACATATATCGCACGTGCTATGAAAAATTGGTATGTGCGATGAATAAATTTACCACTGTAGCACACGTGCAATACAGTTTTGCATGTTCATAACACAGCCACTTAATAGTGTGAAGTGATTTCGTTGTGCTTGTTTGTTTGTTTGTGTGTGTGTGTGTGTGTGTGAGATTGATTATACTTGGTTTAGGGGTGTGCAATATGACGATATTTGATCGTGGACGATTAAAATGTCTCCACGGTCTGCTTTTGAAGAAATATTGTAGTATCGTGCTACAGCGCACATTCTATCAGCTCAAGTTCTGGCGCCGCTGTATCATCTGTAAAATGCGACATACATTCACATCAAATGTTATCTCAGCAGTAGAGTTACTTACGGGACACAGCACTTATGCGCAATCACAAAAGTACATTATTTGCATCTGCTTTAAAGCCTTACGGGTTAAACATTTAATTCACGTGCTGTTCTGACGTGTTTCTGAGCGCGTACACATGAAGCGCGCGCACACTTTCAAACAGCGCCTGATTACTAGACTTAAGTTTAAGACTTAACTTATAAGTTGTCTTTCGCATCTGATTGATTTCGTGCCTAATACTGTCAAAAGCACACAAGGTTTACATATAAACACAGTTAGTTATGTCAGAAACCAAACGATAAACTTTATTTCATGAACTTTATTTTTAATGAAGTGTCAGACCACGTCAGTAAGGTCCTTTGTTCACTTTGTTTTACCACAGATTTGTTTACAAACAGGGCACAATTCGACGCAGGATTTTCAGAAATATTTAAACTAAAAGATGATGCTGTGCCGACTATATTAGATACAATGTCGCACCACACACAGTGTGAGTAACTGTTTTCATTACGTGGTCACTATTGCTTTAGCTGTTATTACAGATCACTTGATATGTACTGAGTATTTATGCATTTTAACTTAAAACACAGCAGCGTCCATCTGTGAAGGATGTAGGCTGTCAAACATACACAACTGTTAGCCAATCATTGCAGTGGGCGTTTACTTCTGAGTCTAGAATCCGCCACGCCTATTCCAACAGAGTGTTCTGATGAGAGGGTCAAAACAATGACAGAAAACAGCCTATTACTTCTAAATTAATGTTTTGTTTTTTGTTTTTTTAATGAAAAAATCTTGATAACATTATAAGTGGATCTCAGAGAACAGTACAAAATAAAAAACAAAGGCAGTTCATGACCCCTTTAAGTCAAAAGTATGCCAAATTGAGGCCCTTTGCCCAAAAAAAAGTCTGATTCCATGTAGGCCCAGCAGTCACATTCAAACACATTATGCCACACTGCTATCTATAACCTCTCTTATTAGGTACATAGATCCGATGCCCTTCAATGCCGGCTTCCTGAGATGTAACTCAACCTGGAAATGAAGACGTGTTCTATTTCTCACAATAGAAAATATCTCAATCAATGGCTGCTAGATATTTCAGATGACTGTTCCCTCCATACTGATAGCTTTGGTTTGATTAAAATGAAACATTGCTTCCTGCTGAAGGTCAATGAGTTCACTGACACTGACATTACAGTGAGAGAGATTTTGAGAAAGGGCACAGTGGGATTATGAGTCTTATTGTCACTGATGGAACACATTAGCAGAGAAAACCTGAAGCTTCCCATCAGCACCCAGCCATTTTACTTATGTATTAGGCGGGGAAATGATATGTGCTGAGGCTGGAATCTATCAACATTTACCACATCTGGTTCTGTTTTTCTTTAGATTAGATTACTGGTTGTATCTTTAATGCACAAGACTTTAGTAGAAGGCATTGTTATTAAAGGAATTTTCCAGGTTCGGTATAAGTTAATATCAATTGAGGCTTGTGGTAAAATGTTTATTACAAGAAAAAAATTTTTTTACACTGATGCTCTTACAGTGGAAGAGAATGGGGCTATTCTGTAAACATTAAAATGCTTAATGTTTCAACAGTATAGCCAAAGGTATAAACAATATGTATATAATTGTAGTGTGCAAAAAAAAAAAACTGAATTATTAACCTTTATGTAAAGCTATATCCAGTTTTACAACTTCATTGCCATTTGTCATCCCAACACCATAAACCTGAAAAGAACCATAAAAAAAAGAACAGCTCACATAATACAACAAATTTTAACAGAATAATTGTTATATGATATTATTTATTAATTATGTATGAATTATTATTAAATTCCTGACCCAGTTATAAAATAGTACTCAAATGGTATTAATAGCATTACCTCACCTTATCCTTTCATTTTTTTAAGAAAATGAAAGGAGGAGCTTATCTTGTACTGAACCTGGAACATTTCTATAAATAGTGTGACTCTTTAGAAAAATGTATTCTTATTGAGTACAATTCATTACAGATCATAATTGCAACCACAGGAACTGTGAAGCTAAAACTACATGTCACCGTCATTGACCCTTGTTATCTGATTCTCCTGAATCATCTTACACAGAAACAGTATATATTTGTCTTGCATATACTGTATAAAGTAAAGAGAAATTACAGCTGATCTCAAGTGTTACAATTACCATCCATGAGGTTATAATCACAGTGGGAATGTCACTCCTTAATAAGTATTTCAGCTTATCGGGGTTTGTGCTGTACTCACTTTACGCTCCTTGTCTCCGTACTCCAGCCCCAGTGTGTCCATGGCACGCACGATAGCAGCCAGAGACTGGATGGTGTTGCTGAAGACCACTGGCTTGTACTGCTTCACATCATCACCAGAGAAACCGTCCTCGTGGATAATCCTACACACACACCAGAGGATATTTTAGAGAGCATGTAGTTCATGTGTGTCTGGAGCACTTCCCCCTGGCTGGAGGAACCAAACTCCGGTAAACAGACAGGAACCATGTCCCATTTCACTGAAATGTTCAGTTCTTCTCAAGATCACAACCACACATTTCTAGACTGACAGTCTCCAGGCCCAACTATGGTGATAACACAAAAGCATAGGAAGGATGGAGAAGATGATTGGAGTGAAGGGAGACAGCAAACACAGTGATGTTGAAACATACAGATACAGACAGTGATGCAATATGTCTGTTATCTGTGTCTCACGGCTTCAAGGACTGCTCAGCCCCCGTGCTGCTCCCCGATAAATTTAATTAAAGCTTGCTTTATTTATTAAGGCTTTATTTGCTTGCTTTATTTATTATTTATTTATTAATATATGCATAGTTGCCAAAGCCAGTGAGTGAGATTTAGATGTAACATGATCTATATCAGTGGCACTCAACACCCTGTCAAATACAATGATACCTTATGACCTTCCTTTAATGTAAGATTAAAGTCTATTCAGACTAGACTAGTTTTCATTTATTTTAATCTCGTTCAAATCAAACATATTATCATGTTCGTCACACATCCTTTGTGAAATAAAATAAATAAAAATAATAATAATATTGAGCGAATTGCCTACTGCTTCTCAGCAAACTCCTCTGAGAAATCTAATCCTGAAATCTAATTACTGTTTTTTCACAATGCTATTTATTTTGCTCTGCTTCACTGAATACCATAACTAAAGAACAATAACTAAGTTAACGAAATTTCTGGGTAAAATTACAGTTGGTCATTCAAATATTGCTGGCATCACATATGACATAAATTTTATTTACAAATTATATTTTATTTATTAGAATTATATTTACACAAACACACACACACACGCTCATTTGTACAGCTATCTTTGAGGGACCTGCCATAGACTTCAATTGTTTTTTTACTGACCTAATGATATTTTCTATCCACACACATAAATTTACTACTACAATAGGTTTCGCAACCTTCTGCAACACTCACTTTTAAGAAAAGAAACACTCCCATTTTAGTAATTACAGACACACTTATTAAATCCAATACATTTGACAGTAATTGATTTGACCTGATGTGTCAGTAAGTAAAAAAAAGTGTTTTACCATTTTTTAAGGCTGCCAGTACATTATGTAAACTATACGAAAAAGAAATCAAGGACCTTTAAAGTCTGGATGACACATGCATTCTCGTGATAAATACTTCAGATTCGAATTGTCAGTAAGATGATATCGCTGAGACTTACAGTAAAATTAAAACCTCACAAAATTTTCTAAAACTTTTTAATTAGATTACATTCACAACTACGCATGTCAAAAGCCACATGCTGAGTGGCTTCTAAATGTCAAATGATAAATAGAAGTGAAGAATGATTAATAATTCCACTAGTTGTATTTATGCAAAAAGTAAAAGTTAAATCAAATTGCTAAATTTGTTGTAGACAGAATAACCAAATAGCTATTGTCTCTCAGGGATGTAGGTATTTTATCTTCATTTTGTGCTATTGAGAAATCAGTGGAAGATGCATTTTTGTGATGAGGAGCGTGTCTTAATCATCGCATTCAGTGAATTACAGTAGTAAGTGCAGCTGTATCATCCAGCATTGTGTTGGACTGCAGAGTGTTCTTTCTAGATAGCCAGCTATGTCTTTGTCCTCCTGATTCATAAGTTATATTGTACATTGTTGTGGTTTTTACTGTTTCTTATTCTGTGTTTTATCCCTCACTCATGCTTGCATTCAATATTCAAACATTATTACCCATTATCTACAATAAAATGGTGTTATTTCTGCTATAGACGGCATGGCCGACTTTGATCCGGGGAAAGTAGAGCATTCAGAGCAGCAAGGGACGAGTTTCTCACAGAGAATATGACCCTGCTGGAGCCAAACCACAAAGGGGGGCCCCAGTGGCACTTGGTCCTTCTGTGGCCAAAACCCCTAATTCGATTGATTTAGCTGAAATTAGGTTTGGACATCTGTCTGTTCTACAATACTGAAAGATGGCAAGGCATTTTTAGATCATGAGGCTTTGACCTCCTTTGTGAGTAATATACACACAAACACACACATTTATATGCATTTCCTTAATGCATAGTAGCATTGTCTGGCCTGAAAGCTAAAGCCAGTGAATTATCACATCAGCGCTCGGCTGGTCTTGGTTAACGGTGTTAGTGTGGCATGAGAAAAGCCTGGCATTATGCAGACCCAGACATCACAGTGGTTTATTAGACTGGTGCCAGGGAGAGGTGTGATGAAGCATGTGTTTGGGGATAATATTTTTACCACTTGGTGCACACACACGTGTACACACAAACTCAGGTGGCCTGAAGGCTACTACATGCCTATCATTAGCTCACTATTGCACTTAGTTCAACCAAAACCACTCTTAACCACCCTAACAGTGTAAAAAACAAAACAAAAAACACATATATATTAAAGGGGTGGTTGATTGCGATTTCACTTTTTTAACGTTAGTTAGTGTGTAGTGTGTAATTGTTTTGAGCATAAACAATATCTGCAAAGTTACGAAGCTGAAAGTTCAATGCAAACGGGGATATCATCTTTTAAAATTCTGGCAGTTTAATGCCTACAAAAACGGCTCATAGGGACTACAACAAGTTACTTCCTGGGTTCGTGACATCACAAACCCAGATAAACCCTGCCCTCGGGAAAAGGCAGCAAAGGGGGCAAGGCCATGCTGCGCTGCTGTAGAGAAGAGGAAGAGAAAACTAGAGGTGCACGTAAAAATCTATTAATATATGAATCGCAATTCTGTCTAAAAGCCGTGCTTGCACAGGTTCTGCACGATCCTCTTCAATAATATCCTCTGCTTCTCAATCGGGCTCAAACTGACAAGTGACAACCGGAGCAGATGGCGCTGAGGAGAGGGGCGGGATGTTTAGACGCGCACTAGAGGCGGTTTAGCCTATCACAACACACTGGGCTAGCTAACCAATCAGAGCCCATCGCCTATTTCTAAGGGCGGGGCTTCATAAAAGCAGGAAATTGATCAGCACGTTTCTCAGAGAAGGGACAGAGCAGTGTGGAATAAATGTAAATTATGTGAATAAATAATGCGATTTTTAAAAAACGACGCATTAGCACATGTTAGACTGCACCCCATAAACACAATCAAGCCTTGAAAGAAAGCACTGAACCACCCCTTTAAAATGTGTAAATAAATAATTATCGGAGAATGCTTTACAAGAAAAAGTTTTTGTACTTCAAAATTTCACGTTTAATTCAGTGTTACTTGGATTTTTTGTAATTGTTTCACCAATTTTCTTTCAGTGTGATGTGAGCTTAAAGTTTTAAAGCAATTAACAATTCATTTAAACTAAAATAACATAGTTATTACCATAAACTTTTTTTTTTAGTTTACACAATCTTGAATGCTTAATTTGGTGCCTCTAAATACAAAGTGTTTAACATTTAGTTCTAGTTTCTTTGTTATGTTATACAAATAAAATGTAAGAAAGATTTCGTTTTATTTCAAGTTTTATTTATGTCATTCTAGTGGTAAAATACAAAAATAATCATGAGATTGAATAATTAATTCCTTCAAATGCTCTATAAAAATTTCTAGAAGGTACTGAAATATTATTCTATTAAAACCAATTTTAATCACAATAACACAAAGCCTGCAATAAAAATTAAATTCTAAAAATTACTCTTATGTAAACCATCTCATCTGGGATGATTTATATATCAATATATCAGAAATAAATCAGCAGTTAAGAGTTTTCTCCCTATCATTTTCTCTATCATTATCATATTTGTTTTATAATTTACTGATAAAGAGAGCACAGCTATGGGGTTGTTTGAACACAAACACCTGTGCTGCTTTTCTTCTGATCGGTCTTCAGGAATCAGATTAAACTGAATTAAACATTCACTTTGGCAGCACTCGAAATGTTTCCTTATGTGTAAAATGTATTTATATAGTTCTTATGCTTATGAGCAATTCAAACATCTTATCCAACAACAGCTGGTGCTAGCAAACCAATGAAAACAGTTTGATGATGGGATTACATGGCCATTCCCAGAATCTCTCTCTCTCTCTCTGTGTGTTTTTCTGTCACTCTCACTCTTTCACATTTCCCAGATGACCACTCAATAATTCAGCTGATAAAAATAACAACTGTTTAGGGTCTTTTGAAAGTCGCAATATAAATTAGGACATCGGTTTTTGATTCCCGCAGGAGGATGGAAACATTGATCTGTTTCAAATGTGAGACACTGAAAGTAGACTCTAACTCAGAGGGCTCCTATTCCAGTCGACCTGGCAAAGACCAAGGGCTTGACACACACACACACACTGCACACAGTCTTAGTCACAGATGTGCAGATCAGGATACAGTCCTGAGGCCAAATAGGTTCCCACAACTGTGGGCTAGAATTAAGTATCCTATGTAAATGTTTTATTAGTTGCACTGACTAGCCATTTAGTTCTACCACTAGTCGATTTTTTCGGCCCTTCAACTATTTATGGATTAAATGACTTCAGCCAGGAATCCTTCATATGGACTTCACATACAAAATTGTTGCAAACCTCCCTGAAACTTAGAGTCACAAGTGAATGGGGCAAGACTGTTTTAGCACTGACATGACAATGCAGCCAGCATGAATCTGGCAATGGAGATATGTGCGCTTTCGTCCCATCTTTGCGATTCTCTGTAAACACAGTGCTGGACTTGCCAGAAGCAATAAAGGTTGCTGATGGTGCACAGCATATGGAGAGTTATTTACATAAGGTGAATACGGACACGTCAACTAGCTGACTATTTTTCTGGATAGCTATAGTCAACGAGTGAAAATCAGATGTTGTGCAAACCCTAGTATGTTTACATGTCTGTGTTCAGTTCTAAACCTGAATTTATGGTCAGAAACAGACAGTGGGCTCTAATGTAAACGGAACAATGAATACTTCCTGAT